AGATTATCATCATTTGCAAATGGATTTTTTTCATTCCTCAAAATAAAGGTAGATGTTGGCTAGAATCAGGGTCATTTAAGAAACTTGCAGTTGCTTTTAATTAACTTCATGCTTCTTCAACTGTTAACATCAATTAACCCATTTTTGTAAGTCCACATACAAATATAAAGTCTACAATACTATTTAACCTAGAGAAACTAATCATTGCTGTATCAGTATTAAAAAAACAATGCCAAATACCTAAAACTATCTCAACCTAAGATATTCCTCCAGACAGAGGTGCTTCAATCTTGTCTGATCTATAAATAATGCAAAGGAGGCACAAGGCACTTTCCCAGCATTTAGTTATATATAACTAGAATGGCACTTCAATTAAAAATTCACTTTGGACAGAATTGTAACAAGTAGAATCTCTCAAAACGTAACACAGTAGAGATAGTTTCCAAAGTATGCGCCCTTGAAGAATATACTTAGGAAAGGGGTATTCACATCCACAAATGAATACAAAGTGTATCCAAACAACTTGGGATTTATATTTTCTCTACAATGTTTCAATTACTTCACTTTCTCTAAAATCTAGTTCTTTGTTGTGCTAAAGCAAATCCACCAGATCCTACCCACAGTAAAGAATCCTTTTTAAAAAAGCAGACAATGGCCACAGTGGCTCACCCCTGTAATCCCAGCAATTTGGGAAGCCAAGGCAGGAAGACTGCTTGAGGCCAAGGGTTCAAGATTAGCCTGGACAACATAGTGAGACAACACCTCTACAAGTTTAAAAATTAACCTAGCATGGTGGTGCCCTCGTAGTCCCAGCTGCTTAGGAAGCTGAGGCAGGAAGATCACGTAAGCCCAGGAGTTCAAGGTTAGTAAGCTTTGATCATGACACTGCACCCCAGCAAGGGCAACAGAGTGACACCCAGCCTCCAAAAATAATAATAATAATTAAAACAATTTACTTAAGGCTGGGCGCAGTGGCTCACGCCTGTAATCCTAGCACTTTGGGAGGCTGAGGCAGGTGGATCACGAGGTCAGGAGATCGAGACTATCCCGGATTACAGGGTGAAACCCCGTCTCTACTAAAAAAAAATACAAAAAAAATTAGCTGGGCATAGTGGTGGGTGCCTGTACTCCCAGCTACTCAGGAGGCTGAGGCAGGAGAATGGTGTGAACCTGGGAGGCGGAGCTTGTAGTGAGCCAAGATCGTGCCACTGCACTCCAGCCTGGGCAACAGAGTGAGACTCCCTCTCAAATAAATAAATAAACAAACAAACAAACAAATAAATAAATTAAATTAAATTAAATTAAATTAAATAAACCATTTACTTAAAAGTAGGCTGGGTGTGGTGGCTCACACCTGTACTCCCAGCACTTTGGGAGGCCGAGTCTGAGGTCAGGAGTTTGAGACCAGCCCGGCCAACATGGTGAAACCCCATCTCTACTAAAGATACAAAAATTAGCTAGGCATGGTGGCACGCACCTGTAATCCCAGCTACTCAGGGGGCTGAGGCAGGAGTATCACTTGAACCCAGGAGGCAGAGGTTGCAGAGAATCAAGATCACACCACTGCACTCCAGCCTGGGCAACAGAGGGAGACTCCGTTTCAAAAAAACGTACTGAAAAGTCAAAAAAAGCAAATGATGATATGACCAATATATCCTAGTGGCTGTATATCAATAGCTACCATTGGAAATAATTTTTTCCCCCTTTTTGGTTTTTTCAGACAGGGTCTCTGTTGCCCAGGCTGGAGTGCGGTGGCATGATCACAGGTCATTGCAGCCTTGACCTCCTGGGACCACAGGTGCACGCCACCATGCCTGGCTAATCTGTTACCTTTTTGGTACAGATGGGGGTCTATGTTTCCCAGGTTGGTTTCAATCAATCCTTCCACCTCAGCCTCCCAAAGTGCTGGGACTACAGATGTGAGCAACCACACCCTGCCAGAAGTATCTTTTAAAAGACAACAAAATGCAAAGTCTCCTATTAATCAGGTAGTACCAAAAAATTATGACCCCAGAAAAGGACTCGGATCAGGGCAGAGAAACACAGAAAGAAATGTAGAAAGTTTTAGGACAAGAGTTAACTCCTAGGTCAATCGAAAAGAACGCCTGATTATCTACAGAAGTTTCTTCATTATATTTAAAAACTATATTAATAAGACTATATTCTAAGCAGCCTACAGCAATGCAATTTTGGAATTTATTTATTAAACAAGGCAACTGTACAAATGGAAACATTTCCAAGTGTCTACTGGCACTCAAAATCACTGTGTTACTAATGGGTTATAAACTATCTTCCTCTAATGATGTATCTTTACTGTAAGGTTTCTGGAAAACATCTATAAATAAGTTACAGTGGTCACCTACCATAACTGGTATATTTTGATGGCAACAATTAAGCAACATACAATGTCAGTTTAATGATTCTTTTTCAAAATGTTAAAAAATGGATCTGATACCACTAGCTAAATTCTGCAGTGGTCCCTCAGTACATATAGGGGACTGGTTCCAGGAACCCATACCAAAATCCATGAATCCTCAACTCTCTTAAATAGTGTAGTGTTTGCATATAACCCATGAACATTCTCTTACACACTGGTGTATTGCTATTTCTTTATTGGGTTTTTTTGGAGTATCTTCAATCTTCAGCTAGCTGAAACTGTGAAGGCAGGACCCATGGTACAGAGGGCCCACTGTATTAACTTTCTGTAGTTCAGATACCTCATTGCTTACTAGATCATTCTGTATTTTCACTTACTGCTACTTTATTGCTACTTGGCAAAAATATTCTATTCTCTTATACGAGATTAAAGGATTTTGGGCCAGGCAAGGTGGCTCATGCCAGTAATCCTTGTACTTTGGGAAGCTGAAGTAGGAGGATGGCTTGAGGCCACGAGTTCAAGACCAACCTGCCGGCCACAGTGGCTCATGTCTGTCCTCCCAGCACTTTGGGAGGTCAAGACGGGCAGATCACTTGAGGTCGGGAGTTTGAGACCGGCCTGGCCAACATAACCCTGTCTTTACTAGATATACAAAAATTAGCCTGGCGTGGTGGTACGCGCCTGTTTTCCCAGCTACTCGGTGGCTGCAGCTGCAGCAGGAGAATTGCTTGAGCCCAGGAGGCAGATGTTGCAGTGAGGCAAGATCATGCCCACCACACTCCAGCCTGGGTGACAGAGACTTTGTCTCAAAAAACAAATAATAAAAACTAAAAGATTTCTAAGGTACCTCTTTCTAGAGCTCGAAATGCCCCTCAAATTCAACTGCTGAAACTAAAATTTTGACAACTCAAAGGTTACCAGTAAATCTGAATTCCCTCTAAAATAGAAAGCACTCTTTTAAGGGAAAAATCTGACATGATTTGAAAAGAAATATCTAAATTCCCAAATTCTCTTTGTAAAGACTTATATTCTTTCAAGTAGCATACTTTTTTACTGTTAAACTTCCATCATACTCAATTATGCAAACCAGTTGGAGGTATTCACGCAATACAGAAAAGGAAGACTTGGCTGGGTGCAGTGGCACACGTCTGCAATTCCAGCACTTTGCGGGACTGAGGCAGGCAGATCATCTGAGGTCAGGAGTTCATGACCAGTCTGGCCAACATGGTGAAACCTTGTCTCTACCAAAAATACAAAATTTAGCCAGGTGTGGTGGTGCATGCCTGTAACCCCAGCTACCGGAGAGAGGCTGAGGTACGAGAATTGCTTGAACCTGGGAGGCGGAGATTGCAGTGAGCCAAGATCACACCACTGCACTCCTGCCTAGGTGACAGAACGAGATTCTATCTCCCAAAAAAAAAGAAAAGGAAGACTTACGAGTTTTACTTTTCTCTTTAAGGCTTGCTTAAAAGTGATAGACCTCACGGTAAGGGAAGGGGGAAAACTCAGGAGGGAGGGGGAAAAAAATCAGTCTGAAGATTTTTTAAGTTTGTCTGGAATTACCCACAGGATATACAAGCCAGATAAAGCAAATTTAACAAACGTGGCACAGTGAGCTATCCTGTACAAAAGTTCTCCCCAGGTGTATTGCTTGATACATTCTATGGGTTTAAATTAGGCCCCAACTCTTCAACTATAAAATGCAGAATCACTTCAGTCACAGAACTTAATAAAGCTAGTTTAAAGGAGTTATATAAACTGTAATTTAAAATATTAAAATCTCTTTCTGGCCGGGTGTGGTGGCTCGTGCCTATAATCCCAGCACTTTGGGAGGCCGAGGCAAGTGGATCACCTGAGGTCAGGAGTTCGAGACCAGCCTGGCCAACATGGCGAAACCCCATCTGTACTAAAAATACAAAAATTAGCTGGACATAGCACCAGGTGCCCATAATCCCAGCTACTCGGGAGGCTGAGGCATGAAAATCACTTGAACCTAAGGGGTGGAGGCTGCAGTGAGCCGAAATCACAACACTTCAGTCTGGGCAAAAAGAGAGAAACTCGGTCAGAAGAGAAGAGAAGAGAAGGGAAGAGAAGAGAAGAGAAGAGAAGAAAAGATTTCCTTTTTAAAAAAGCTGGAAAAATTACCAGGTCCTTACCTAACATCTGGTATTTTTAAATCAAATATTGCCACTCACCATAAAATCTTTTGTTTCATCAACTAGAAATGTATCACAATGTCTTTTGTGAATTATTTTAGAAAAAGGGATGGCTCAGGTACGGCCAGGAAGTATGAGAGCCCTTACCACAGTTACTTTTCTTAAATCTTTTCACATCCCTATAAATTTAAACAAACAAACAAAAAACATCACTAAGCCAGATGTTTCTAAGAACCAACTGCTAGGAATTCTACCATGCTGCCCTTTTAGATGTGGAATCCTATCAACTATACATGCAAAGAATATCACTACAATGCTTGCACAGTGATATGGAAAAAAAAGAAAAAAAACACCCGCCTAAATCAGTACTTCAAAAAATGTTTGGTAACTCTTAGGCACAATAAGAAAAAAACTTGATATTAAAGACAGTGAACGTGAAAACTGAAGGGAAAAAAAGGACAACTTACCAGTTTAACAGCCTCCTGAGCTGCCTCTTTTGTACAGAAAGTGACAAACGCATAACCTCTATTGAGACCAGTGAGTGGATCCATCATTAGACGAAGATCCCATATAGGTCCAGCTTTCTCAAATAAAGGAACAAGTTCATCCTCAAATAGATCTCTTGGGATCTTTCCCACAAATATCTGCAAATTAAATATTAAGTAAAAACCATGGAGAATTGCTTTAGGAAACCAGACACCTGTGCTTTCACTACAAAAGGTACAAGTTTTTAGTTGCTTTACCTCAGTGCCAACAGAAGGCTGCTGACCTGAATAAACGGAATCTGGAGGTGGTCCCCCATACTTCCTCTGTCCAGTGGTCACATCAAGTGTGTAGCCTGTTCTTTCCAAGAGTGCCTTGAAAAGTTCAAACGTCATTAATACATTTAATTCACTAGACCACACCCATACGTTTAGCAGTTAACATCCACCTTGCTCAAATCTTTCCAATTATCTTGGCATGTTCCCTCATAAACAAGTTTGTGATATCTGTTTCAAAATTTCCCCTTAATGTGTACTTGTTATACTTCTAAATTATTACCAAAATTCCAGGGTCTTGTTCAAATTACTTTCCAGTCTCTACTTAATTGAATAGTGTGCTTAATGAACAAAAAGATCAATCCATTAGCAACTTTCAAGACAGAATGTATTACTCTGTTAACACCACCTTAAAAAATGATTGTACCTAATTTGGTTGAGTATCTTTCAAGTCTGGATCTTTTACCCAATAAATTCCGTATAACCCCACTCTGGTTATACGCCATTCTGGGCATTGTGCCAACCTCAGAAGAAATTACACTTCCCAAACCAAGTCTAGAAACTTGGGAGCTACAGCGAAAAAAATCTCCTATTATTATTTGACATTTATGTGCCATATTTCATGGGATAGCATGGGTCATTCAGAAAAAGTAACAGCCAAAATGACTTTTAAAACTTTATAAGACTGCAACATTACATAACCTCTACATTTTAATTCCCAAAAAGTACTGTTAAAATTTACACAACTCATATTTACTCAAAGCATTAAGAATTTATTCCTATTCTAGGCAAAGTATAGAAAGAAGTATAGGCTGGGTGTGGTGGCTCACACCTGTAATTCCAACACTTTGGGAGGCCGAGGCGGGTGGATCACAAGGTCAGGAGTTCAAAACCAGGCTGGCCAAGATGGTGAAACCCCGTCTCCACTAAAAATACAAATAATTAGCCCGGCGTGGTGGCACGCACCTGTAATCCCAGCTACTCCAGAGGCTGAGGCAGAGAACTGCTTAAACCTGGAGGGGCAGAGGTTGCAGTGAGCCAAGACAGCGTCACTGCACTCCAGCCTGGGTGACAGAGCGAGACTCCATCACAAAAAACAGAAAACAAAAAACAAACAAAAAAAGAAGCATAGTCCTCCATTAACTGAAAGAAAAAAGTCAAATTATTCCCCTTCTCCACTGTCTCAACCACGAAGCACAAAAGTGGTTTCCCAAACAAAACCAATTCCATTAGCTAGTACATTCTGAAATAAAAACAGACTAACCCTAGCCATCTGACAAAATGTATCAAAATGCTATTATTTAGGGTCACCTCAGTCTCTGAAAATTACTGGACAGACTTTTAAAACTTCTAACTCAAAGGACACTAAATGTTTATGAAAAATACTGTAATTCATAAAAACATTCATAAACTTGCTCACATCTATGACTGTAACATAAACTAAATCAGTAATAATAGCTCATCTTTCCATTTTCTCACATGTAATCCCTGTGCTATAAAGGAGTTTTTTAACCTTAATCGTTATGACCCAAATAACACTTTTTGTCAATCCATAAAAACAGAAAGGAAAAACTTATTCACTCTGTCAGACTTCCTCTAAAAATGTCTCTATGCCATCTTACCACAACTTAGGTCTCATTAAAAATTTAAGCGGACGGGTGTGGTGGCTCACACCTGTAATCTCAGGACTGTGAGGCTGAGGAGGGTGGGTCATGAGGTCAAGAGATCGAGACCATCCTGGCCAACATGCTGAAACCTCATCTCTGCTAAAAATACAAAAATTAGCTGGGTCTGGTGGTGCCAGCCTGTATTCCCAGCTACTCAGGAGGCTGAGGCAGGAGAACTGATTGAACCCGCGAGGTGGAGGTTGCAGTGAGCCAAGATCACACCACTGCACTCCAGCCTGGGCGACAGAGTGAGACTGTCTCCCCACCAAAAAAAAAAAAAAAAAATTAAGCCATCCCTTTCCAAAATAAACTGAAAGTCACAAACTGAAAGTTTAAAAATTTGAGTAAGTTCTATCTAGCTCACAAATGCAGACTTAATTACAACTGAATTACAATCAAGACAACTATACACCACTTTTATGGAAAAACTAGATTTACAGATAAAACTCAATTCACTCACAGCTAGATCTGTGAAAGCCTCAAATTCATGGCTATCTTTAAACAGCTAAATCCATATACCAACCTTTTCCATATTCTAGGCTTTCCCTGTGTCCACACCAATACAACAATGCTCAAGGCCTATACCCTTAACTGATTTTCTTAAACCATATGCTTGGCTCAACAGCACTGGCACACTACAAAGCACACCAGATTAAAAAGTAATATGATCACCACATTGTCTATAAATAAGAAAACTCACCAATATAAAGATCAAAACTGAGCTGAATTTAAAGCCATTCAGTATAATCTTAAACCAAAAAAAAGAGCCTTCCCTTCCTAGCCTCAGTTTCTCATTTACATATACACACTAAACAATCTTACTGTTAAAGCTGCTTTGAGAAACAATCTAATAATCCATACTGACGGAAGTGGAAGGCAGCAGGGTTAACATTCTAAATTCACTGGGGTTTGAAACTCCTAAGAAAAACAGTTGCCAAGTGTACATTCTCCACCAGTATTCAACTATCAGTAAGCTGGCTTTCCAGCTTTTCAAAAAATAATTAGAGGTATGACGAGTGTATTTCTTTTAATCTTTTATCGGAACTACCAATAGAAAATTTAAACATCAGTAGCTGGATAACATGATAAACTTCACAGCAAATTGCTTTAGAAACAAATAGTTAAAAGAAATGGAAAAAAAAACAGGAATTAGGAGAGATTGATGAATTATCTCAACATCTAACATACATCCATTTCATACCCAAGGAATATTTACCAAAATTAGAAAAGTTAAAAGAACTTTAAAACTAAAGGGAGTATAGAAAGACATACCTTAATTTTTGCCTCATCTGGTCCTTTACTAGAGTCTGCTACTTTGGTCCCTTGTTTTTCTCTCTGCCTATAAGTCTTCATGACTCCACATAAAAAGGCACTTTTGTTCTGCAAAAAAATGTTCCATTAATATTTAACAATAACCATATCTGAGTCTAATAAAATTTAGCAGACAGTATCAAAACTACTCAAATTTTTTAATTCTTTTCACACTGACATTAACATTACCTGAACATGAGAGAGATCACTGTCTTTAAACTGTTGAAGAACTGCCAATGCACCGTCTTCATTGAATTCTTTTAAAGCTTCAATAGCTCTTTCATCTAAATCACTATGTGCAACTAGCCCTGGAAAAAATAAAGGTTATCAGGTTTTAATATTTTTAGAAAAGATTTTTTTGAGAAGACTATGTTGGCAATACAGGTACATGTGTGCCTTTACAATTCTTCTACTCCCCTTATCCATATCTGAAAAAAAAAAAAAAAAACACACTTCAGCCACTCTGAACTGCATCCTGAACTAAATAGGCCCTGCCAACCACACTTGTAATAATGAGCTAACTTCTTTTACATCTTTTATCTCCAAAGTCTGATAGCTCTGAGCACTACAGTATGTCTACAGTATACAGGCTTACAAAACCTAGAATCAACCAACAAAGTACCAAGCATGACAACTGAACCTCTACTCATTTCAAATATCACCAGAAAAAGTTAACAGCCGCACCAAAAAGACAAGAAAACGAGTCTACAGTTACCAAGTTATTTAAGAAGAATCCTACTATAAAAATACTCAAAAAAGTCACATGGCCTGTTCCCAACATTAGCAGCTGTTGCTACTATCATATACTTACTTATCCATCAGGCCAGCATGCAAGCCAGCCTTTAGCTCCTAACCTTCTCTTCTTCCCTCCCTCTATACATCTTAACCTCTACTTCAAACTTAAATTAACCAGCTATCACAACAAGCAAAACTCCAGTTCCCACACTTATTGGAAACCACAAAAAGTTGCTATTTTAGCTCAAAGCCAGAAATCCAATAGAAAAATTTCATAATGTAATTTTGCAAGTGTTAGTTCTTACCTGCAACGTAAATTTCATCTAGTTTTTCAGCAACTTTCTGTGGTAAACCAGCATCAAGCAATGTCTGAAAATTTTCTGAATGGATAACTGCAGAAGTAGTATCCATGGGCTCTTCAGTACCATTTCCATTAACATGTTCTGTAGCCATGTTTCCAGAGATCTGTTCAAACGCAATAAGCAAAATTAAACTAGGATCTTCAAAAAGAATAGAGGACAATATGAGAGCCCCATCTTTACTTTCTCTACCATTGACTACACCAGCTAGCCTGTGCCTCCCTTTAAAAAAAGCCTTACAGTCACTATCGCCTGACAAGCCAGATTTGGAGCACAGGGCACAGAAGGACCGATTCACTATATTCTTCCTTAGCACCTCCCCTGACTCACCTGCTAACACTCCCTAGGAAAAACCATATTACAAATACAGCCCAATCAGCACGGGTACGAGCCAGCTTGTCACATGCAGCTGTGCCCGTTCGGAAAATGAGGTGTGTGTGGAGAAAGCAAAACTGGGCTCGTCTCTCTCAAAGATAAACCCCCAAAGTGCGCGCTTTTCCCGCCTGCCGCTTATAGATCGGTAACAACAGCCAGCGAAGAACAAAGCGCTCATACAAGCCACCTTCCCACCACCCAATTTCTCCACCCTTCAACCCCGCACCCCAAAGCCCGCCCCTGACTCCGCACCGAGAGCGGCAGTCTCACCACTGCGGCCGCCAGGAGCCCATTAGAAACACGTGCTCTGCGCCTTCCAATGTCCTACAACTTCCTTCAACGGAAACCCAACGAATCCCAAACCAAGACGACCATCACTGGTTCCCAACATCAACCCGAAGCCGCGGTCGGAGCCCCCAGAAAGCTACAGCAGCACAATCTCGCCCCTAAACACCGAGGCAGTGGCGGCACCAGGCCACAGGCTCTCCCCGCCCCCCAGCGCTGCCGTCTCCGCCGTGACACATGGCTCTCCGCCCCG